CTTTTACGCACCGTGAATAATAGATATTCATAGACGGATAGACCTCGAGTAATAAAACGAGACCTATATGTTTGACAAACAAAAACGATACCTCTATTTGAATTACTAAAAATCCATCATGTTATATAATTTATACTAGATAGTTACCCGTGTTATACGCGGAATAATGTGATACACGAGTTATTGGAAAAATTATTATCCGGAATCTAAAACTCGTTTATATATATGAATTTTATAATTATTTTTGTATAGAAATGTATTCCCCCATTTAAATAATTGAAAACAACAAGTTTTTAGTTCTTGGTTAATATATATCACTTATTAATAAAATGTATTTATTAAATATTATAATCTTCAAAAATACAGTTTATGACTCAAATATACAAAATAAAAGATTGCAAATATGAATTGAATTTCATAGGTTTAAGATAATTATAAGAGTAAGTGAATATTTATAGTAAACTTTTTTTATTTTCCTTTTTAAAAAACAAATAAAAAAAAATTATTTTCTAATGATGTTCGGTTGGAAGGATTGCGTGATTGTATAGTGTTTGGATAATAGGATAGTAGATAACTAATAAGATTGTGGAGTGTTTAGATAATAGTATAGTAGAGAATTAATAATAGGACTTAATTTTTAATTAAAAACTTAAAAAAATTGAGAGCTTGACATTTAAACAAATTAATCCAAAAATGTTTTTTTTTATATATAAAAGATATTTTAAATCGATGTATAGTAAAAATGAATGTAGTCCCTATCAAATATTGTAAACTGAATTAGTCTGTTAGGTCACAGAGAAAAGATATTGGGATCGATACGTACTTTTGATCGAAACCGATGCATTCATGTTATAAAGATTCGGTAGATTGAAAAAAGTAACTAGAGATGCATTAGATCTATTTTTGTCCTACTCTTTAGTCTTTACGATGACCTAAGTCGGCCAATCAACAAAAGTTAAATTGTCTTAAATAATTCGTTCACGTATTTTGATACTATTTTGATGATGTCGCCACTTTCTTAATGCAATTATTTACGAATAAAATAAATAGATCATGTCGGTCTTATGATCGGGACACTTTATCCACTTGGCTTACGTATCAACCAATCAATACCATATTAGAACTTCCCACAGTTTCAGGTTACGTGGATCCAAGTCACAGGCTCGTGTTAACTCATCATCATCCAATTTTATCATCCCAATTTCCACATATTGTTATGATTTTAATAAGACAACAAATATTTAGCTACAATAACTATTAGCAATTTATAAATTTTAATCGCAAAACATAAACAATTGTCCGTGACGTTTTTTAGGTATTTTTTTGGGTGAGGTTATCTTGAAAGAAAATACTCCCTCTGTTTCTAAAAGAGTATCATTTTAACAACCTTCACACAAATTAAAAAAAAAATTAAAAATCTTTTGTACCTTTAAATTAACTATATAATTACAATTATTTATTTTAATCAATTTGGATTTATACTCATTTATTTGTAAAACATAATTTTGTACTCGTGCATCTCTTGGTATTCTTCTTAGATGAGTCAGCATTGGATAATAAATGCAATTCTAATAGCAAGATATTCCTATATAATCTAGATAAATAATTTTGGAGGTAATTTTTTTTCTCAATTGTTAGTTTAACTAGGATTTTTTTTTGGGTTCACATTTAAAACAAGATCACAACAGAAAAAGTAGAGCTAAATATTTGGACTGGATGTAAGCAAACAAAAATTTAAATTATTTATGAGTTTATAAATTAGATCATCCATGATTTTTTAAATACTCACTCGATCTATGGTATTTGAGTTATATATGTGCTCATAACAATAAAAACACTCGAGCCTTCTTATGGATTTAATTTTATTTATAAATATATATATTTAATGTGTGATAGGATTCAACTTAATGGGGACTATAAAGAAACAAACGAATTATAATTTGTTTTGTGTAGAAAATGAGTTTTGGAATTATTTGTTTAACATAATTTTGATTGAGGTTAAAAATGGAATATTTTGGCAAAAATATATGAAAATTCTAAAATGACACTCTTTTTGTAATAAAACAATTGTGTCAAAATGACATTTTTTATGAAAGGGAAGGAGTATTTGTTTTACACCTACTAAAGGCTGAGGAGACACTAATGGATTGGAAGCCACATATATTTAATACCAATGATGTTACTTTGAAAATTAGTCAAAAACAGATAAGAAAGATTTTCCCTCTTGTATTTGTTAGGGATTTGTTTGTAGAGGCTAATTTTTTTTGTATGGTATTATATATGACAAAGAAATTTACGAGAACCACATATTATCTGGAAGTGTGTGTGATAGTGAAAGACACTATATGTTATTACTTATACCCTTAACTGAGTAATATACATTCAATCAATCATTGTTTTATATTAATAAACTATGTTACAATGATTTATCAATTGTTCATTTGCTTTTTCTTCGATTGAATTTTCGATATTGAAGAGGTTTTACGTGTTTTAAAGTTATGAATATGAATATTGACATTTACTTGTTTTTATTAACAACACGGTAAAATTTATATACAAACAATCATCTAAACGGTTACATGAAGTTTTATTGAACAATCTGGAATGTGAGTTGAGGTAACTAAAGAACATACATAGGCATATGCTTCATATATTTAAATCAAAACCGTCAGTCTAGCTGAAATGGGGAATGTAATCTTATTAAGCATTTGAGAAGAAGGCATGCTTCTCTACTTAATTATTCTCTGCTTAGATTTCCGAAGTTAAGAGGTCTTCACGGTGGAGGAAGTAAAATCAATCATAACATCAATAGGTTTCTTTGAACTATGAAATTACAAAAATATTAAATTGATCATGGTGAAAAATAAAATTATGTTATTACATCTCGTGTGTAATTTTGATGACTACTTCTCCCAATTGTATTATGTTCTCTGCACAGAAATGGTACAATAAGAAATTCATAATGAGAAATTTCTTTTTGGAAATTACTTCGCTCTTGAAGAATTCTATAGGAAACAGTACTACACCTTACATATGATGTTCAACTACTAGTATCATTGCACAATATTTCCAAAGGGAAACTATCATTCTTTATATATAAAAAGGAAGAAGAGAGCCAAAGCGTCTCTTTCGATGCGGGACAAAATAATTTCTTTTTTGTCACTCAAAACTTTCTCCTAGGCCCATTACCGATCCAAGTATCAGTTTTTTGTATCCAAGCCCGACCCATATCACAATCGTTGCTGATTCGGGGTGCTTTGATTCAACAAGTGAGATTTTACTCTATAGAATGAGTAGTTATTTCAGTGTTCTTAGTCTATTTTAAGACAAGTCTTGCAAACGAATCTTTACATACCAAAGAGAAAAGGATCAGAAGCAGTGTATTGATCCGGTAGGAC